AGACGACACATCTGCACTTGGAAGAACGAGTATGGTGAAGATGCTGTACACGGCGGGCGCTGATTGTGTATTCGATTTATTCGAGACGCGGGTTCTGTCACTCGATATGCTGGCGCTCACTTACGACATTATTGATGTTTTCTCGAGTTGTGTGAAGAACTGGGCCAACAGGAATACTACGATGTTTATGTTACAAGAACGCACTTGAAAATTCACGAAAAGATTGCATCATTGAAGCTTTGGACAACGCCGTGGTGCGACCTTTACTGCTTTGTTGGACGCAATACAACCAAACGGATCACTGAAGCTAGACGTGTTGCCTGTTGGTATTTCCACTCGTTGGGGAGGCAAGTTAATCGTGGAAAGAGTTCGAGCAATGATTAAGAAAGCTGGAAACGTTATCTCAGCCAAGTTTGCTGCTCCCTACGCTACAAATTGCGAACCATAAAATTTATCTTCTCATCTCAGCCTGACATTGCCAATAAACAAATTCTTTCAAAGTGAAAACCCAAAATGCCGATCGTGAACGAATTTTCTCTGCTCTGATGCAGTTGCTGGAGAGTTCTAGTGGACGTCTGTATGAAGACGATCTCGACTATCTCAAGACCCAAATCAAGGAAGATCCGCAGATACTAAGCAAGATGACGCCTTGCAACAATGACAACCGAGATGATCTATGCACGCTTCTGCACCATGCAGCTGCTGGTCCAGCTCATGATCCTGACCTTGTCCAGTGGATGATAAACCTCGGAGCTCTCTTCCTTCGATCCATTGTCGGAAAGAACCGAAGAAAACCGATTCAATCTGTCCTCGAGAGTGTCTACTGAACACCATGGTAGTCCACAGCGCCGCGACGAAAGGCTACACAGATATTGTGATGATCTTCCTGGCAGCAGACAATTTAGTGGACTTGAACACACCAACGTTCCACACGAAGGAAACAATTTCTAATCTAGCTGTCAAGAATGGACATCGTGACTTGTACAAGAAACTCTGCTCAGTTAGAGCGGATTTGACAATGCAAGACAAGCTGGAAACGCAGTGTGGAATCGATCTTGGTCACGAGATATAGCAAAAGAGGCTGAACGTGCGCAGAAAGTTGAAGCTATTGACCAAAGTGCGGGGTCATATAGAAATGTTCAACGTCCTACTCTCCGTACAGGCCCCACCAAAAGAACTACATTTATGCAGCGACGAGAAAAATGCCGCTCTACGCTCGAAAGCTAAGAGAAAGATAAATCAAGTTCTGCGAAGATGAAAAATAAAAGTGGTAAAGCCCCAGTTAAGACGCGTGCTGCTGCCGCTGGTGTCGACAAGTCGATGGAAATTTCACTTGCGAAAATATCGGCAACATTTGGTCGGTTGCGAGACGATAATATCGCTGCAGAGCACAAAGTCGAAGACGTAAATTACGCATGCAACGCCATAAGGCGGTTCCAAGAGGCAACTGCTCAGTTATCTGACTATCAAATTGAGTGGGAGCATTATCGACTTACAGAAGAGCGTTGCGTCCGAGGCCACCCAAGTTATCCACATGATGCAGAAGTTCTTTCAAGTGGATCACACAGCAGCAAAGGTCCCTTTTGTCGCGGGATCGAGAGCAAGCCCTACCGCTTCGTACAGCAACAGCTACCGACCCACTTCATCAAGGATTATGCGGTTGTGGCGA